TTTGAATTATTCTTTTCTCGATGTTGATAATTTTCACAAAATTAAAAGCATTTCTCCAAAAATAAGACAGTGTTGAATTATAAACAATAATGAACTTACACTTGATGGCTCCTAATGGAGTGTACATATCTTAGTTGGTACAATATGCTCATGTGCAGTGACATCTCAGATCTCAGATTTTGATGAACATGCTTTTTTCCATTAGTTAAACAATTTAGAGGGAAAACTATCATAATTGGTCAACATCTTATTAAGTTTTATCATGAATATTAGTGATTTATTGTAAAAACAAGCATTCTGTGAGTATTGCCTGGCAATACATAGTCCCCTACTATAACTTGTCATGGTGTAAACTATATAACAAATATGAAGTCAATATCTTCAAGCATGACGGTAAAAAATGTAGAAAATTGATTATTTGAGTGAATTTTTTAAGTCCAAGGACCATATCTTTGCACAAAATCATCAGACCGGAACAAAATGCGAATTTGATCTGTAACTTGTCATGATAAAACTATATACCAATTATCAAATCAATATCTTCAAGCATTACGAAAAAAAGTGAGGAAAACTGATTATTTGAGTGAATTTTCTAAGTTCAAGGACCATAACTCTGCACAAAATCGTCAGACCAAAACAAAATTCGAACTTGATCTGTAACTTGTCATGATTAAACAATACACCAAATTTCAAATCAATAACTTCAAGCACGAAGAAAAAAAGTGTGGAAAACTGATTTGCCAGACTGCCGGACAGACAGACAGACAGACGGAGTGCAAACCTAAAGTCCCCCTCGACTTCGTCCGTAGGGGACTAACAAGATTCCACCTACAGGAATTAAATAAGAGAGCACATGTTGAAATATCTAAAGTACTTTACTAATCATGAGGGAATTTTATGTCGAATCTATAAGAGGTAGCTCCTACTACACGTATCACAAAACTTAACATTATCAATGATACATGAAAATTAGGTCAAGGTCTGATGAACACTGCAAGATGGACATGTTCACCTTACAATCATACCATACACCAAGTACAGTGGACTGTATCTGAGAAACAGACATTACCACACAATGAATTGAGATCAAGGTCAGGGAAACCAGCCTGATGGACATGTTAACCTTCCCATGATTCTATTTACCAAATAAAGTTGTCCTATTACTCATAATGAGTGAGAAAAATAATGTGATAAAAAAAAATATCAATATTTAAGCAGTGGCTAAACAATGAAAATGAGGGCAAGGACAACAGACAGAAAATTCCAAATATAAGAGCATATGTATACAAAATGTGATCTACATGTAGGTCTTCTACCTTTTGAAATATATAGCTTTATACTAATAATTTACACAGTTGCCATCAATACCACATGATTACCATTCCTATGTCTAATATTCTGCAACATTAGCACAGGAGAGACAAAAGCTCAATCAAAGCACTGTAAGCGCTGTAGGCAGTTAACCAAAAACCAAGGCAAACGTAATTATGAAAACTGTGGCAATGTTGCTTCAATTTTCTTTTAAGATTTGAAAGAACAAACATTAAACATTCGTATATTGTACATTTATGTTCATTAAATGAATTGATTATTAAGGCAAATTAATTAATATTTCATCAAGGTTTTCAAAAGCAACTCATATGTCAATGTAAATGACCCCCATCTTCACCCCCAAGTGCATGATGTTACTCCATACCAAGTTTGGAATAAAATGACAGGTGATTATAAAACAGTTGGTCAAACATTCTCGGGCTTTACACTGCTTGAAAGATTTATATGTTTTCTTTAAAATGAGACATAAATGAAAATTATTATAGGCCCAGAAATAATTTAATAAACAATTAAGTAAATTCAATAATCTAGACTCATTTTTTGGATCAAAAATTTTTTATAATAAACAAGAAATAATTGTAACAGGATGCCGTTACGAAGTCTCCCAAACAAAGCCCCCATAATTCGTCATTCCCATGGTCTCCTGACATTGGGCAAAGTCCAGTTCATATTGGTTTGGTCTAGTAAAGTGATATGCATATGTGACACCAAGGAGATTGACCCTGTATGTCATTCAAATCTTTTTGAAATGATGAACAGGAATAAATATGGTTTAGGTGTGGGTATCTCGACCGTTTACAAGTTCTCAAACAGGAGGGGGTGGGGTGACCCCAGGGACTCCCCCTATATTTCATTTGATTTGTTATATTGTCCAATACATGAATACATATGGTTTAGGGGTGGGGATCTCGACCATTTCCAAGTTCTCAAACAGGAGGGGGTGGGGTGACCCCAGGGACTCCCCCTATATTTCATTTGATTTGTTATATTGTCCCATACATGAATACATATGGTTTAGGGGTGTGGATCTCGACAATTTCCAAGTTCTCAAACAGGAGGGGGTGGGGTGACCCCAGGGACTCCCCAAATATTTCATTTGATTTGTTATATTGTCCCATACATGAATATATATTGTTTAGGGGTGGGGATCTTGACTGTTTACAAGTTCTCAAACAAGAGGGGGTGGGGTGGTCCCATGGACTCCCCCTATATTTCATTTGATTTGTTTTATTGTCCCATACATGAATATATATGGTTTAGGGGTGGGGATCTCGACCATTTCCAAGTTCTAAAACAGGAGGGGGTGGGGTGACCCGAGGAACTCCCCATACATTTCATTTGATTTGTAATATTGTCCCATACATGAATATATATGGTTTAGGGGTGGGGATCTTGACTGTTTACAAGTTCTCAAACAGGAGGGGCGGGGGTGTCCCTAGGGACTCCCCCTATATTTCATTTGATTTGTTTTATTGTCCCATTCATGAATGTATATGGTTTAGGGGTGGGGATCTCAACCATTTCCAAGTTCTCAAACAGGAGGGGTTGGGGTGACCCCAGGGACTCCCCATATATTTCATTTGATTTGTTATATTGTCCCATACATGAATATATATGGTTTAGGGGTGGGGATCTCGACCGTTTACAAGTTCTCAAACAGGAGGGGGTGGGGTGACCCCAGGGACTCACTCTATATTTCATTTTTGATTTGTTTTATTGTCCCATACATGAATATATATGGTTTAGGGGTGGGGATCTTGACCATTTCCAAGTTCTCAAACAGGAGGGGGTGGTGTGACTCCAGGGACTCCCCCTATATTTCATTTGATTTGTTATATTGTCCCATACATGAATACATATGTCTTAGGGGTGGGGATCTCGACAATTTCCAAGTTCTCAAACAGGAGGGGGTGGGGTGACCCCATGGACTCCCCCTATATTTCATTTGATTTTTTTTATTGTCCCATACATGAATATATATGGTTTAGGGGTGGGGATCTTGACCATTTCCAAGTTCTCAAACAGGAGGGGGTGGGACGACACTGGGGACTCCCCCAAATTATTTTCATTTGATTTCTTAAATTGTCCCATTCAAGTATATATATTGTTTAGGGGTGGGGATCGCGACGGTTTACAAGATAAAAGTACATTTTCAAATTAAAGGGGGTTGGGATGACCCCCAGGGACTCACCCTATATTTTGGTTGATTTTTTGTATTGTCCTGTTCTCATTACTGAAGACTGCATGTGTCTATCACCTACTGTTTTCGAGAAATAGTCATTTGAAAATTTAAAAAAATAAAATCCCATAGGGTTCTATAGTAAACCCCTCCCTTCTTCAGGCCCCTCCAAATACCCCTAAATAGACCCCAATGCACAAACAAAAGATAGATGGCTCCGCTAGACATGTTAGTCTAATATTTTATGAAACCCTAAGTAAATCTGACAAACGGTCAAAGTTGTCTTCTTAGACGGTTTGAGTGGATTCGGTCCGACTTGTCTCGGGGACGAGTTGTCCACATTACTTAAAACATCCCATCAACGTCGATTTCCACATCTGTTTTCATGACCTCGTTTCATTCATAAAATAACAACAACCTTATTTGGCAAGATAAGTTAGAAATTACCACCCACTTATATAACTTTATTTCCTCTATCATAGAGATTTGTTGTACATGAACAATATTCCTGCGCATTTTGCCATTTGGGAAAAATAAACGACTTGTAATTACAGATTTTCCGCGATGAAATATTTCATACAATTGTTCTTTGACATCGTAGCCAAAAGCACAGGGGATAATAAACTACGTACGGATTTCTATTGAGCACTACTTCCTATGTGCAACTTCAAAAGTTTTGGGTAGTTCGACGATCATTTAAGGTTTTTCTGGTCATATTTTTGGTATTCCAGAAATAAAAGTATTAAAAAAATGTCCAATTAGTTATAAATAACATAATAGCCAGCTAGATAATAACAATGGCACGTATTTCAGCATTTATTGGGTAGAACACAAATCTAGGGTGCTCGCATAAGGCAGCTTAACTGCCTAAAAACCCAGCTACATTTTTATGTGTCTGTCATAAGTTAAGAACCTCATCATTGGTTGCATTGTCTCATGTCACATTTTTATTCTTATTTATTGGATGGACATCTGTCTAATGTTCAATACTGTATGTTGACCTGGACAGATCATAACAGGTCATACAACTAATTTATAAATGATTCATTATTGTCTACAGTAAAAATTAATTTGTGATACGAATGCCAATGAGACAGCTATCCACCGAAGTTCAAATGAAGAGGTATGTAAGCAGTTATAGACAACCGTACAGCCTCCAACAATGACAAAAAAACCCATACTGTATAGTCCGCTATAAAAGGCCCTGACATGAAAAATATGAAACAATTCAATTGAGAAAACTAACAGCCTAAATCATAACAAAACAATTTACAAAAAACAAATACGACAGACATGAACCAACAACAATTGAACTACAAGCTCCTGACTTGGGACAGACACATAAAGAATGTGGTGGGGTTAGTTTTCCTTTATTAACAGAAAAATTGAGTCCTATAAGGTATAGTAAAAACAATAACCACACATGAGTAGCGCAAGGATGGCTGAAATAGCCCTAGAAATTGGACTGTTTAAAAAAATAAAGTATCAATAGATGATGGACATTTTTAATCCTTTATAACAAATATATCAAATCCCATGAACAATAATAATCATTACATATCAATGATAGAATCAGAAGATCCTTCATTCAACAGGCTTATACAGCTCATTTAATTTGATATGATATAGCACTATGAAATAAAAATAATTTCACACTTATTTTTTGCACCTCAGTACATGTGCAAAATATATGCAGGTCCTTCAACCTAATAATAAAAATGTAACATTTCCTTACACTTGTATTGAAAGAGAAAATGAGAAGATAGGGGAGGATTACCAATGAGACAAGCTATCAATGAACTAAAATATGACAGAGATCTCCCTAAAAGTCTTAACTTCATTTCTTAAAACTCTATGACCTTATTGACTTATAAAATATGATGTTGATGTTTATAAATTGCATCAGATATTAAACTTTAAGAGATCATTGTATAACTATAAATATGTATTAGGAATTGATACTAACTTTTACAGTTGATTAATACTGTCATGAGTGTTGAATAAAAAGCAAAATTGATGTCTAAACATATGTGTCTTCAAAGGAAGAAATGTGTTGCCAAATAATATGAATCTATGTTTTGGTATGGGAAAGATGCAAAATATTTCTGATCAAAAATAAAAACAGCAGGTGCATTACTTCATGTCCCGAAGAAAAATTACTGCAATCTGTAAAAATCTTAGTTTTAATCAAGGTCAAACATACTACAGAAAACTTAAAATAAATCAACAAAACAAATCATTCAGTGTGCTTTAGGAATTTCTCTGATAGCTGCATAAAAAATGTTAGAAAAAAAGTTACAGAGGGTTGAAAAGGACTGCTTGATGTGCAAACAACTATTGCCATAATAATATCTAGACATGGATTGGAACTCCTCACACTTCACAAACTACTTGCATTTATGCATAACAATTACATCCTTACACATTACAAGCTTTTTCATTTTGAACTTAAAATAAAATACTCCAAGTTCTTGTTAAATTCCTGCTAATTAGAATCTACACACATAAGCTACATTTACCAACTGGCATATATAAACATGATAAATAAATAAACAAAAAATATCCACTTCAATCACATACTTAACAAACAAGATATCCCACAAAAATATACAATTGTAATTACATTTGTTATTGCATAATTTCAAGAAACATGTGAAAATACATAAATTGGTTTTATTACTCTCCTGAATAGTAATTATTTATTTTCAAACCTGAAGAATACAGTTTGAATACATTTACATGTAAATACAGGCAATGGCAAATAAGAATTCTTGGGATTTCTATTTAATGATAAAAAAGTGGACTTCTGATTTTCTATTTAGGTGATAACATTTGTCTCTGCTGCAGAATGCATCTTATAACCATAAAAGGTTCCACTGACTCAAGACTACTGCAGCTCAAGAGATACCAGTAGCGAAAGAGAGAAAAGGGTTGATATGTTTTATAACAAACTCCATCTCCAAATTGTTGTTAAATAAATGCTAACATAAAATATACCCAGACATCTGAGCTAGAAAAACATTATTTGAGTGAGAAGAAGAATATTAACTTTACATGGCTTTAAAAAAGCTTAGAAATTGCTTTGAAAAAAAAGTGTGCTGTCTGTGTGCTTTATAATGATGATGAAACCTATATGTATGAAAGAAAAGAAAGCAACAAAGAAATTAAGACTTCATAATCAAAAGCTGATATTCACAACCTTTGATTTCCAGGCCTTCCGGTCAGAAACATTTGGAGTATGATTATCGTACTCAGAATTCAACCAATCAAATACTGGATTTGGTGTTTAGAGCACAAATTTGTAGTTAGATCACTGAGTAAAGAGTATGACCGTAGGCCCAGGTTTTATTTATAATCACATAGTCACTGAAAATTGAAAAAAAAATTTATCTCCGAATTCAATTTGCATTTAGTTAATTGCTGATTCAATTAATTTTATAGGTGTGATGTATAACATCCTCTAATCAAAGAAACAGATTAAGTGTTGCTGTGGCCTGTTATCTTTTCCACATATACAGAGAGTTCTTTTACACGGAATAGAATCAACGAATGACAACACAAAGGCTTCATTTTCTGCTTCTATTCAGAATTTCAAAATCACATACTGATATTAAAGTAATTAAAACAAGAAGATAAAATTATTGCTTTCAATCAAATACTTGGATTTTTCATGATAAATATTCTACTTGCACCCTGCTTGAAAAGTCAGACCACCATTAGATCACGCTTGTACATTTTGTAGATCATGCAACACAATAATTCCGTGAGACCTATTCCAATACCTGTCACAGTGAATTTTTTCAAAATTGAAGAATTTAAATTTTCTAGGCTTATGAAGGACATCTGTCTGTCAGTCAAAACCCGTAAAATGCTTGTTGGACCAGCAATGATTTTTTTTTTAAATTTGACTAATTAAATTTTGGTAATTTTTAGTGACTTTAATACTGATTGCTAAGTTAAATATGTCTGCAGCAATAAGTGATAATTGTCCACTGGACAGAAAGGTTATTAAACAATCCAGCACCTTTGAGAACTTTGAATTTCTCAATAAAATACTATCCCACAGAAGAAATAATTTCTTGTCAACACAGTTACTCAACGCAGGCACTTGAAAGATCCAAACTTTTATCTGGTTGCCTTTCTGGGCTGATATCATGTTTCTAGATATTGTATCACTTGTCTCTATAGTTAGCTGCCATTGGAAGATTACCAACAAAAACATGGTCACCATGGAAACACTCAATCACACACTATATCTAGTCCGACCGTACCTATCTTGTCCCTGGCAGTACTCATTATATATCAGTTTAAATAAAAACAAATGGAATATAATTATAAGGAATGCTAAAGAAGCCCAAAATATTGTTGGAAGTCCTCCAAAATGGTGGCCATGTTTGTGTAACGCAATGACATGGTGTTCATGTGCTGGAGCTGAAAAAAAAACATAAAAAATGAATCTTAGGTGGTAAATTTATGTCAAGAACCTATTCAGGCGAATCCTCAGTTTTAATTTGTACTTTTTCTTCTTAATCCATTTATGAAATTTGAACATGGACAAACTACTGTTTCCTATATTTACAGGTAAAATATATCTTTGGATGAAATATACTTGATAAGAATAATAATACTGATTTTAAATATGTAATCTGAGCCATACAGCATAAAAAACATCACATTAGTTTCTGAATTTAAAGTACATAGATACTCTAAATAAAGATTTATTACATCATGTTCATCTTTATGTTTTAATATAATACAAATGCATATTGTTCAGTCTGTTTATATCACATCTTTTCCAAACTCAGGGTGATAAAGAGCTTAACATATCGTTTAGACACTTATTTATTGATTTTTTGAGATGACTGTTGTGTTTTGTTGCTGTTGGGTTGCTGTCTCATTGACATATATCCTACATCTCCTTTTATTTATATTACTTATGTTTTGATGAATTTAGAAGTCAAACTAACATATTGAATTGTTCACAACTTCTTTAGATTCAGGGCAATTAAGAGCTTGACATATTGCAAAGACACTTGACTGTTGATAGAGGCTGTATGTTGACATTTGCTGTTTTGTATCCTTGTCTCATTGATGAATACCCAACAACTCCTTTTAACCATGTAATATAAATCATTACCTTCTTTAATCTCCTTGACATGTATTGTGTGTTTGAGTTCCTCCATGTGTTGTTTATCAGCTGTTATATACAGGATGGAAGTTAATGGTTCAGTCCTCTTCACAGGAAACTGAACTACCTCTTTACTGAAAAAGATAGATGACATTTCTGATGTATTTTTTTATGTATCTGGACATATTACTGATTTAACCCCTTTTACGTTATTTAATACCAATAAGTCAGGTTATCAACATCTAGCAATGATTTCTTCTACAATCATTGATTGGGATTATCGTTAACTTACAGTGAGGTACAAGTTTTGGCTAGGTGTTGAAGTCCTTACTGTGACTTTGAGATAGAGGAGAACACTTAAAGCCCTATTCCTTTTCTTTGGGTTTTGTCAAGTGCATGAGATATTTGTGTGTCATGAATCAATATTCTATATCCTTCTTTTCCATTTCTGCATTGTAGTCATATACTGTTCAACCATTGTTAAACAATATCATTTATCATGTTTAGCCTTTTTATATATGTGTATTTACTTCTGTCTTTGTTTTTCTTTTCCCAAGAATTTAAGATCATACAAATCTTTATCCTTAAAATTTAAATACTCTTGTAAGATTTGAATTGCATTAAATTTTAGCTCCTAATGACCGATTTTTATTGGGAATGAACAACTTAGTATGGAATATTTATTTTCTTGGGAGAAATTAATACTGATACAAGAAGTTTCATTTCAATTCAGCAATAAGTGTGTACTTTATACAAAAATAAAGAATATATATACAAGGCCAATGCAATTAATTTTGCAAATAAAATTACACAAAATTAAGAGTTTCAACTAAAAATATGTACGATCCTCGTTTCATAAATTCATAATATTGAGCAAACTCATGTTTAATCTTTTTTTTTTAAATCTTTTTTTGTAAGTATCCACTGGTCATGCTGGTAGAATAAAAGAACCTTTTCAAATTTTTTCTGGACTTTTGAGCAGCTGTGCAAATACTATTAAAAACAAATTTCTACATGCAAAATGATCACATCATTATTTCTTTTGAAATTCCCTTGATACTAGCAATGATCTGCCATGTACACTTCATTTTTTTCATGATTTATAAGACCAATAATGAAGACAAAATAAATATTGATACACTCACAAATTGGCAAAAACATGGGCATTTTTTAAAACAAAATCTATTCAATTTCATATATCATATTATACCTTAAAGCAATGGGTGCATCTATACATCCAGCATCACAGGCATAATATGGGCGATCATTTCTATCTAAAGATACACGTATGACAGCCTTATTGTCATTGCCTACTATCACAGATATGTTCACATGTGTATTGTTGCCATAGTTAAGTCTATGGAATAATAAGTCTCTATGGAGATCCTTTGGTTCCATGGACATCTCCAAATGGTTGTCGTCAAATCTTAATCCACCAAGACTAAGTAGTATGGCTTGTAATACTCCTTCAGCACCTTATAAAATTTTAAATGAATAGCTTCAGCGACATGTTTCATTGAAATATAAAATTTCAAATGGATAGCTTCAGGGACATGTTTCATTGAAATATAAAATTTCAAATGGATAGCTTCAGCGACATGTTTCATTGAAATATAAAAATTTGGAATAAGTTACATCTTTTGGTTTTGTGTCATTGGTATATACCCTACATATCCTTTTACTCATGTTTTTTCATATTTTACAAGTATTATTTTATTGTTTTTATTTTATGTTGTTGCCTGCTTGACATTCACTGATGCTGTCTTTATATAATAATAAAACATAAATAACAAATAGATTAAAAAAACATTGACAGAAATTTATTTCAGCAATGTACTTTTTTTTTGTGCAAAACACAAAAAAAACCAAAATGTATGCTATTCTATGCTATATTTACTTAAATAAACTGAAGAAATTTAAAACTGTTTTGCAGCTTCTGAATCGTCATAATGTGTAGTTGTTGCCAAAATGAAAAATATGTTATGTTGCATTTGCTTTTATTAATTTCCTGCAATCTTCAAAAATGGCTGCAGTCATACAGTCATGGCAAATAAGAATCTGTTATGACCAGCAAGTTTTGAATGAAAATAACATCAAAAGTAAAAGTTTGAAGACTGTGATAAAATGATAGAGGTATGCTCAGAAGTAAAATCATATTTGGCAATGACAGTCTTTAGCTTGCTGTGTTCTGTTGGTCTTACCTCAATGAAAAGACAATTCAGTAACTCCCTAGACGTCTAACAAAGGTGTTAAGGTTGTTGTGATGTTGCATATTATTCAATGTTTCAATAGTATTTTATCAACAGCCTCTACCAAACATGATGTAATGTTTTAAATGTACCTGCTCTGACAATAATATTACATCCTTTCTTCTCTAATGTGATCATCCATGTAGAGGTCACATCAGCAATGTCTTCCTCATCTTTTATCTCTGACCATAATGTTTCAGAATAAAACCTAATGTAAAGATTTTTTTTATTCCAAAAAAATTGGAGCCAAACATTTGATAAAAAAAAATTTCAATAAAATATTTTTTTGAAAAAATGAAAAAAATATTTTTTTCAATTTTAAACTTCTGTGTTATACATGTCCATAAAAAAAGTACTAAAATAGAAAATACTTATTTGTTACTTTTAAAACATTAAAATTACTGTTCCATATAATAAAACTAATGAAAGAAAAACTACAATCAACACACTAGAACTTACAATAAGAAGTTGATTACATCACACATATCTGAAAAATGAAACTTTTATAATACACTAGATCTTGCAAAATGCTTCATCTTTAAAATGTAAAGTGTTCGAAACTTACAATAATGTGTGACCTCCATAACATCTATCTGGATAATGTAAAGTTTTCTGGATCTTTGACTTTTCCTCAATGGTCGTACTCAGCTCATGTAACGGAGCCTGAATGTTACTGAGGACATAGTATATTGTAGTGTTGATTTTATCTCCATTCAAGGAACCAGTTGCCTTGGAATTACTGATACCAAATCCACTTTTCCATATCTTGAATAAAAGCATAATTTGTACATGCAGAAATATGACTTCCAACACAAGATTATGTGATTCACAAACGACAGACAAATAAAACACAATGAAATCCTAGGAGATAGGATTTGATTATGCAATCACACATTTTACATCATGAGTGATCATTAGCAAGGGAAATCAGTTGAAAATGCTGCAACACTAGAACATAGTAATTTATTCAATCATATATAACTAAATTTTATGAATTCTTCTTCCTATTTTTTGGTGAAAATAGTTTATTCTCTATAAAAAATGAGTTTGTCGCAGATTCATTTTTATAATATTTCATAACTCCATAACCATGATAATAGGTTTTAAAATATATCTGCTTTACATATTCTTTAATTGCTTACTAATTATGTAAACCAGATTTAAAATTGCATAGATTGTGTATATTCTAAATTTCTTTTATATTGTGTTATCTTCTTGTGAAAAAATGCAACACAACAATAAAGAATCATGTTCACTTAAAAGCTATGATAAACTGTTGACACAGAGGTATGTCTCGTCTGTATATGTAATTTTGATAGTAAAATGCAAATGTTCAAATTAAAATTATAATACTTTGAAATGTACTTTATGCAAAGTATTAAATGAACCATGACTGAAGGTACAGTGCCCAAATAATTTGTGGAATAAGATATGCCAATGCTAATACAACTGCATTCCATATATCATTGACTTATCATTAGATGCTCCCCCAAACTGACCTAATCACTAACTTTAACATGTAAACTATGCAAAAGTTTCAAAGAAAATAGACCATAACTGAGGGAAATAATCTCCATGGAAATGGGAAGTGCCAATGTTGATACAACTGAAAAACAACTATCATTGGTGGTTTCCCTTAGACTGACCTTATCACAAACTTGAAAAAATTGTTGATGCTGCCACTGGAAATGGCATACCTAGTTCTTTTTTTTCAACTTTCAAGGCAAGAAAAAAATTGTGCTAGAGTCAGCCAGTAAACATGGTAAAGATTGAACAATATATAGATAGACAGTATACAGGTATTCAGTGGTTATCTCTATTCTAGGGTTTATTTTCCTGTCCTATCTATAGTGTGTTAACACTAGTCTTGTTTATTGTTGAAAACTTCATATTGACCTTGTTTTTGTGTCATAGGGTTGCTATCTCATTGACTTTTACTCCCACTTCTCTTTTTATTCAGAACATTGAGTTCTGCATCAGTTTTCATTCATGCAGATCAACAACAAAATAATTCCTCATTTTGAAAAGATTCAAAAACCTTATGACTTCTTATTGTCTAAAATTGCAACTTACATCTCTCCAAACTTTAATATGCTCTTCTCTAAGTGATGCATAATCTATCTTCAAAACTGACTCCAAGAGCTAAAAATTTTCAAAAGCTAGAAGTTGAAGTAAATAAATATGATGCTGTACGCATTGAAACATAATAATGATGTTTTATTAGCTATAGAGCAATTTGAATATAAGCATACGAGAAACTAAAGTTAAACTTTCTTTGGCAAAGTTGACCATATATGAATTTGGCTATTCTTTGTAGGTCCCTTTCAGTTAAATAGCTCTAAAACTTTTCAGCATATTTATACATCCTTGGCTTTCAAATGTTAGGGTTTGAGTGTCCTTGATGATGGTAAATCGGGAAAAAGGCTTTCGATGAATGAAATTTATAAAGTCTTATTTCATTTACTAAGTTCTAACTTAGAAAATAAGTACATGTATAATGAATCTGATATTCACTTGCTGGCATATAAACATTAAAAAATATCAGTTGATAACATTATTCAATGAAAAAATTAGGGCATATACAATCTATTATTTACTTTTAAAATGTCTTCCTTTTCCAAAAAAATGGTCTACTGACTTGTATTCATTGATTCAAAATAACCTAACATATGTTTAAACGTTTGAAAAAAATGACAACTGGTCAAAGGAAGACAACTTTTTTTTTCCTTTGGACACTTTTGAAAAATTCCACCAGAATTTATTTTAGATGTCATGAACTTTTTTTATCCACTGTTTTATATTTCACAAATCATAATGGAATAAAATATAACTTCTCATAATATAGAAAATAAAGGAAATAGAAAACCCTAAGTGTCTGACCTATTTGTAAATTTTGAAGGATGTATATAAAGGTCACCCTCGGATCAGGGAGAACTGACCTTTTGAAAAGTAACCTTTAAATTGAGGTTCAAAAATGCATAGGTAAAATAACAGTGGGACAGGAAGGTGGTGGTCTGACAAGACAGGTTTTTGCTTAATAGAGGTGACCTTTATGGCAGGTTTGGCTGTATATAAAATAAATGTGTACCTGATCCACACTCCTCTGTAGGTGTTCTGGTGCCTTTGACTTTAAATCGACAGGTTGTGAATAATTAACTGCTGTTACTACATGGAATCTAACAGACCTTAAATATTGCAATTAAAATATTGTAATTAAAATATTGATGATAAAGCTATTAAAATTAACAGGAAAATATCTATCCTAAATTTTCAAATGACTTTTTTTTTTTTTTAGTTTTATGTTACTGTTTCTTTTATGTTTTTGATTTTTGTTTTTTATTCCTTTTTAACAAATCTGCAGTCTTTTTTTCTTTTCTACGTGCAAATTTTCATTGAATTGTGTACATTATTAACGTAAGAGATTTAATGTTTCAGTACTGGATTCTTCTAGTATTATGCAGGTATGATATTTAAAAAAAAAATAATAGAAACACAACATTATTTCAAGAATTTTTCATGTCATGCTTTTCAGAAAAATGGGTGCATGAGTATAAGAGAGTTCAGCTATGAGGAGTAAATTTTCACAAAAATTTGAACCTGGTATTCTGCTTTTCGTGTTTTCTTGTCTCAATAAAAAAGTGTCTACCAAAATATCATCTTTCACTAATGTCTCTGATTGTCTTAGCATCAATATGGTCAAAATTGACAATTACCTATACAAAAAAGAGTGGTCTATCCAAACTACATCATATGGTTTGTCTTGTCCTCAATATACTAACTCAGAATAATTCACTCAATCAACTGCTATGACAATTTAAAAATCCCTCCTTTCCTCTTGCAATTAAAATATTCCCATTAGATTACAAAAATATATAGACCGTCCTATAACCATCCAGTCAGTAAACTCAAGGATCAGTTAAACTTCAGCTTATTAAAAACTAATGTTGTTATGTTATTTTTCGTAATTTTCTTACTTTCCAGCTTTGATGGCTACAGAAGGACCAATTTTAACTGTTGCTATAGCAATGTGTACTTTGTACTTTGAATCTGGTATCAGGATGACTCCCTGAGTTGATGTATACTCCACAGACATTCCTGTTGCATCTGTAGTACTGCAAAAACAAATATTTGTACTTTGGATTCAGTATTATTCAATGGATACCAATTTTCATGTATATCGTGAGTAAAGGTGAACCACTAATTTAAAGGTTCAACAAAACACAAGTTTTCTATAGGCAGTATGCAGATTTTGGCAAAACCTCAATATCAAATATCAATGAAATTACAATGTTTCCTCAATCCACAAAAATTGGTACCCATGAAATATATATGAAGCCACAGTATTTCAAGTTGCACTATGATGGCTGCAATTAATTCATTAATTGAATTATTATTAGTATATAGTAATACAAAGTTGATCTCATGTTTACTCTGAGTTGAAAATGTGATAGATATGAAAAAAATATAGACAAAAAAATACAGTAAAAACAATGAATTGTGTGATAGAATTAGAGGGCAATGCTCTTGACATAAGAAAGCTGCTTCACTAAGAAAATATTACATTTCAAACTATACATGTAAAAATGCAACAACCTCTCAACCTCTCAACATAATAATCAATGGTTATAGGTGAATCACGAACTCAAATGATCAACAAAGTACACATTTTTCTATAGGCTTGTATGCAAACTTTTGTAATTTTGTAATTATCCACTTCATTAGAATTTTCCCTTAATCCATGAAAATTGGTACAAACAAAAAATAAATGAAATGAATCGACAATATATTATTGGTTCTTCTTGATCAGCACATACATATACATGAAGAAAAAAAACATGGTGCTCACCAATTAAAGAGTTGTTAGCTCAACTCTAAAACATGATCCAATGATGTATGTGTCCACTAGTATCTTAGATCAGCTGTTCATATATAATATAATATTACATGTATAGTTACCTAGCTTTACTAACTTTGGCATCCTTCAACTGTGTCTCACCAATCTGGTCTAAATTTACTACCACTGAGTTTTTCTACAGAAAAGGTAAAGTTCTTGTTAATAATATATTCAACTTTCACTACAACTGTGAATGATACCATTGTTGGTAATCAAGGAACTAGAACTTTTTGAATCAATTCTCTTATATTTTTAGGACTGGAAAGTTGGGGTAATTTTTTTCCAAACTGCCAAATTTATACCAAAAGTCCCAACATAAACAAACCTGTGTCAGCTGTTTTAAAAAACAGTCTGAAATATCTAAAATTTCATACCTATTTTTTCCGAAAGCATTTAAGAATGATTTGTGGCATGCATCAGCTCAAAATTTAAAAAAAAATTTAACGCTTAAAAATTGCTTATTCCTCCTACTTTCAATTATGAGAGATGAAATAAAAACCTGAAGTTTAAGTTGATTATAAAATATAAATGGAACCCACCTGATTTATGATACAGGTTACTTCTGTTTATCAAAATGACAGAAATCAACAAATGTTTAAATCCATATACTTGTATTCCGTGATTTTGCTAGCGCTCGTCACTTTCAATTATGAGAGATGAAATAAAAACCTGAAGTTTAAGTTGATTATAAAATATAAATGGAACCCACCTGATTTATGATACAGGTTACTTCTGTTTATCAAAATGACAGAAATCAACAAATGTTTAAATCCATATACTTGTATTCCGTGATTTTGCTAGTGCTCGTCACTTTCGTAATTTACGAAACTGTTTTCAAAATGACGAAAGTATTTCAAATCAATTTCGTCACTTAAATTTGGAAAGTGTAAAAATATTTTCGCATGAAAATACCTGAATTCTACCTGTATTACATGTTTCTGACAAGTTTATGACCCTCAGCTAATTAACATTTTCAACAGGTGTTATAAAGTTGTGTTTACAGCTAATCCGCTTATCGCCATTGGATGGGTCACTAATCCAGTTAATTATTTTCCCCAGTAAAATTAGTCAGTCTGCATTTTAATTTCAATATTTCTCAAGGCCAACGACCACAATTTGCAGTTCGCTTGTCATAGTTTCGTCATTTGAACAAAATTGTTTTCCCCCGGACAATTCGCTTTATAATTTCAATATTTCTAAAACGATCAGTCAAATCCTGCAATTAGTCCTTCAAAGTCTGACAAAGATGTATAGTTAGTAATATACATACATCCTTGGTCCCTTGCTGTTACCCCAAATAATGTTGATTTTCATCTCGCGCAAAAGTGACTAAAGCCCTCAAAATCCTAGCTTAAACCCTGCTTGTATTAATATGATTGACAATATTTCACATTGGCATTTCTCTTATATAATCAAGAAAAGTATTTCTTCAAATGTTTTGTACATACACTAGGATTTCTGATTTTGATATCTTGAACTAATATAGAAGGTCTAGTCCTACTGGCATAAACCAAGGATTCTACTGTAAGGCAGTTACTCCTCCACCCTTTGTCCTGAAAAAAGTATAATAAAATCATTCGTGCTTAAACTTACAGTACAACCAGTGATTTCCCCATCAAAGCTTTTATAGATGAGGAATAAAATTTAAGCATGGTGAGGATTTACCATTCTTTGATGTTTAGAGAAAAAAACATATCAGTAAAAGTAATCTGGGAAAATACTTTCATTAGGATACTTTCATTACATTTGTCTGAAATACAAATATAAAGAGTAAATAATCTTGGACTTCACATCTTAAAATATACTTCTTAGTCCTCTTTCTATTTGTACAATGATGTAAAATTGAAAAGAAAAGTTGTTTCTGGTATAAATGTTAATGACCCCATCATTTTAACTTCAAGTGACCAAGTTTTCTTTTAATGCGGTTTGTCAAAGTTATTATCTATAAACTCTTTCTTGCTTGAATATGCAACAATGTTTTAATTACTTTGCACTGAGGCATTTAATTTCATAAAAAATATATATATTTTAGAAATACATGTATAACATCAAATGTAATATAAATGATTTGTGTTCAAAATGTGTAAATACAAACTTACAACTTCAAAACACTGTATCTTTTCTGCTATTCCATGATGAATATTTAACACTGTTGCATCTGTAATTGATATATCAGAAATAAAAACACATTAAGGACATGAAGGACAGTGGTCTTAATACATGTAAAACAGAAATGGCACATTAATCAAAACTGGAAAAGAAATACATGGGAACAATATGTAAATCCAATTGGTGTAAAATGAAAAACACTGTTAGAATAGGCAGAACTTTGCGAAGCAAAAAATTACAAAAGTTGTAAAGGGTTCCATGAAGTTCTGTGTCTTTCCTGTGCTTTCTGCTGTCAGTTTAAAAGTGTAATGTTGACAGCCAAAACTTAATATAAGTCCATTATTCAGTAAACAACTGAAAAAGAAAAAAAATCAGTTGCTATTTCTAAATTGTAAAGAAGCATTGATTTGCTCAAGTTTCATATCATTTCATGAAGGTTTAACAAAATTATTGATGTCTAAAAAATTTAATATAAAACATGAAACACTTACCCTTTGAAATATAGTCATCCAAATGTGCAGTGACTATAGGATAATATTTGACAGGTAATGACAAAGCCCTGTTTAGTCTGATGTACATTCCCTTCTCACTGTCCAAGGATACCGATACCTTTCCATTTCCTGGAAATTAAAATTAAGACTGTACAGAAAGATTCATTATCATTCTTAATCCAGGCCACAAATAGTGGATAGCTGGCCTTTTTTCATAAAACTTCACTCAGTACTCAGCTAAGTACAAAATATGTGCCTGAAGCACCAAATCGTGTACTTTGATTGGTTGATTTTTGAGTCTGAGTAAGATCATTATGCTTGAAACTTTTATGACCGCAAGGCCTGATATCCACATCAAGGCAACAGCTTTAGACTTCATTAACTAAACTGTAACAGCTGTTTTGATTGAAACCAATCATACAATACATGTAAGTAAGCCCTGTCCAGTCTTTCAAACAATATTCAGACAAATCAAGTGCCTTAAAAATTTAACATTGTTCAGCCATTTCACTTGCCATCAATATATTCTGATCTGTTGGGTCTTTTTCGGAATATTTAGCAGTCAGAGCTCTGACATAAACAAGTCAGAATAAAATGACTTCCATAGGTCAGATATAATTTGAAGTAAGTGTTGTCTCCCTTCTTGCACTCAATAGAATATGACTTGTACAGGTCAGTTTATGTCTCATAAAATGACTTCCACAGGTCAGCTTTTGCACAAAATATTGTGACTGCATGAATATCTTCATATTTTAATAAGATTTATGCCCCTTTTTAATGCATTTTGACTTCGAGAGGTCATTTTTGTTCTGATTTGAAGCAGTCATTACTACCACTTTGTTATCAATCTCCATAAAAATATGGTGATTACTAGTTTCGAATTAAAGAGTTTTAAAAAGTGGGGCTCATCTGACATCATACATTCTCCTTTCCAGAATCTAAACATAATATATTTATCTCATCACTTTCAATTATTTCAAAATACAAAGAAAAACCAGGTGAGAAAAAATGGATCATACAATTTTTTGAATATCAAAAGATTTACAAAATACAATATTGGATACATTTACTAGTACCATGACAATACTTCAAATCTTCCAAGGAAAAACAAGACACTTATTCATGATAAGACTATGTTTACTAATAAAAGATATATTCTCATCCACTTTAAGCTAAATGTATTAAGAGCAAAACATTTATTATTTTAATATTTCATTGAGGTAAATACTGTTGTGCAAACTGACTCAAACAAGTCACATTATGTTCTGACTTACTAAACGTATTACAACTTTTAAGTCTAGTATTGTCATATTGATTAAAAAATGTATAGGTAAGCCAGATAAAAGACTGAGGAAATTAGGTCCCCATAAGTCACAATAATGAGGACTATAAACAAGTTTATTTGGTATATTCAATATTAAATGTATTTTGTTTTAAACAGGTCAAATCATGTTCTGACTTAAAAGAGTCAGTCCTAAACTAAAATAAATTTATTGAAATACTTAAGCTGGGCATTGCCATATGATATTAAATGAATGTATGGGAACGTCAGATAAAAGACACAGGAAATATATGTTAAGATCCCCTAAAATAAATAACCATTTGACTTAATTGTTTCTAAAAATTTATCAAATAATAAACTCGAAAATGGCAGATTCAGAAGCAGTCTGAAAGCAAGGACTTTCTTGGATTAAAGGAAGTACACCTAGCTTTGATTGGAAATTTTGTTCTGTAAACTGACTTTAACAGGTCAAATCATGTTCTGACCTGAAAGAGTCAGTCAAAACTAAACTTATTACAACTTTTAAGTCTAGTATTGTCATATTGATTTAAAAATGTATGGGAGAGCCAGATAAAAAACAGAGGAAATAAGGTCCCCTAAAGTCACAATAATGAGGATTATATAAAAAAGTTTATTTGGTATATTCAATATTTAAATGTATTTTGTTTTAAACAGGTCAAATTATGTTCTGACTTCAAAGAGTCAGTCAAAAACTATACTTTAACTAATTATTGCAACTTCTAAGTCTGGCATTGTCATATGCATTTAAGAATGTATGGGAAAAACAGATAAAAGACACCCAATAATAAAGTCACAATAATGAGGACTATAAAAAAAGTTTGTTTGGTATATGTAATATTCAAATGTATTTTGTTTACAATTTCATCAAATTATCTTAAAATTTTTTTCTATTTCTGTATTTTCATGACTTTTTCTTTTCTGTCAAGTTAACACATGGAACTTTTGGTTGTAAAAAATATTATTTTAAAGACCATTTGACTGAATTGTTTCTAAAAAAACTTATCAATTAACATGATTAATTAACTCAACAGTAGCAGATTCAGATAAAGGGGAAAAAAAGGGGGGGCTTAGAAGAAAGAAGACCTAGTTTTGATTGGAAATTTTGTTCTGTAAACTGACTTTAACAGGTCAAATCATTTTCTGACTTCAAAGAGTCAAACAAAACTAAACTAATTTCAACTTTTAAGTCTAGGATTTTCATATTGATTTTAAAATGTATGGGAAAGCCAGATAAAAGCCAGATGAAATAAGGTCCCCTTACGTCACAATAATGAGGACTATAAAAAAGTTTATTTGGTATATTCAATATCAAATGCATTTTGTTTTTAAAGATTTTCATCAAATTATCTTAAAATTTTATTTTATTTCTGTATTTTCATGACTTTTCTTTTCTGTTAAGTTTACACATAGAACTTGTGGTTGCCAAAAAAAATAATATTTTAATAACCATTTGACTGAATTGATTCTAAAAAAACTTATCAATCAATTAACTCAACAGTAGCAGATTCATTTTTAGGGGGTGGGGGGCTTAGAGGAAGAACACCTAGCTTTGATTGGAAATTTTGTTCTGTAAACTGACTTTAACAGGTCAAATCATGTTCTGCTTTCAAAGAGTCAGTCAAAACTAAACTTATTAATACAACTTTTAAGTCTAGTATTGTCGTATTGATTTAAAAATGTATGGGAAAGCCAGATAAAAGACAGAGGAAATAAGGTCCCCTAAAGTCAAAATAATGAGGACTATAAAAAAGTTTATTTGGTATATTCAATATTAAATGTATTTTGTTTTAAACAGGTCAAATCATGTTCTGACTTAAAACAGTCAGTCCAAAACTAAGTTTATTGAAATTTTAAAGTTGGACACTTCCATATGATATTAATGAATGTATGAGAACGTCAGATAAAAGACATAGGAAATATATGTAAGATCCCCTAAAATGAATAACCAATTTGACTTAATTGTTTCTAAAAATTTATCAAATAATAAACTCAAAAATGGCAGATTCAGAAGCAGGGCTTAAAGGAAGTACACCTAGCTTTAATTGGAAATTTTGTTCTGCAAACTGACTTGAACAGGTCAAATTATGTTCTGACAAATTGACTTAAACAGGTCAAATCATGTTCTGACTTTAAAAAATCAGTCAAAAACTAAATTTATTGAAATTTTTAAGTCAGGCATTGCCATATGATATTAATGATATGTACGGAAACGTCAGATTAAATACACACGAAATACATGCAAGATCCTCTAAGATAAATAACCATTTGACTTAATTGTTTCTTAAAACTTATCAATTAATAAACTCAACAGTGGCAGATTCAGAAGGGGACTTGAGGAAGAACACATAGCTTTGATTGGAAATTGTGTTCTGTAAACTGATTCAAGCAGGTCAAATCATGTTCTGACTTATAAGAGTCTGTCAAACACTAAATGGATTGCAACTGTAACAGTCGGGCATTGTCATGATTGTGATGTGATTGTTAGAATGTATGGATACAAGTAGGAAAAAAGATCACAAATATTAAGTCACAATTTTTAGAACTATATAAAAGTTTATTTGGTATATATTTGATATCTTAATATTTCATTGAGGTAAATCCTGCTGTGCAAACTGACTTGAACAAGTCACATTATGTTCTGACTTCAAAGAGTCAGTCAAAAACTATACTTTTACTAATTATTGCAACTTTTAAGTCTGGAATTGTCATATGCATTTAAGAATGTATGGGAAAATCAGATAAAAGACACCCAATAATAAAGTCACAATAACGAGGACTATAAAAAAGTTTATTTGGTATATTTAATATTCAAATGTATTTTGTTTACAAATTTCATCAAATTATCTTAAAATTTTATTCTATTTCTGCATTTTCGTGACTTTTTTTTCTGTTAAGTTAACATATGGAACTTTTGGTTATAAAAAATATTATTTTAAAAACCATTTGACTGAATTGTTTCTAAATAAAACTTATCAATTAATTAACTCAACAGTAGCAGATTCAGATTAGGGGGGGGGGGCTTAGAGGAAAAGACCAGTTTTGAATGGAAATTTTGTTCTGTAAACTGACTGTAACAGGTCAAATCATGTTCTGACTTCAAAGAGTCGAACAAACCTAAACTTATTACAACTTTTAAGTCTAGTATTGTCATATTGATTTAAAAATATATAGGTGAGCCAGATAAAAGACAGAGGAAATAAGGTCGCCATAAGTCACAATAATGAGGATTATAAAAAAGTTTATTTGGTATATTCAATATTAAATGTATTTTGTTTTAAACAGGTCAAATCATGTTCTGACTTAAAAGAGTCAGTCCAAAACTAAAATAAATTTATTGAAATATATAAGCTGGGCATTGCCATATGTTATTTAATGAATGTATGGGAACGTCAGATAAAAGACACAGGAAATATATGTAAGATCCCCTAAAATAAATAACCATTTGACTTAATTGTTTCTAAAAACTTATCAAATAATAAACTCGAAAATGGCAGATTCAGAAGCAGGGCTTAAAGGAAGTACACCTAGCTTTGATTGGAAATTTTGTTCTGTAAACTGACTTTAACAGGTCAAATCATGTTCTGACCTGAAAGAGTCAGTCAAAACTAAACTTATTACAACTTTTAAGTATAGTTTTGTCATATTGATTTAAAAATGTATGGGTGAGCCAGATAAAAGACAGAGAGAATAAAGTCCCCATAAGTCACAATAATGAGGACTATAAAAAAGTTTATTTGGTATATTCAATATTAAATGTATTTTGTTTTAAACAGGTCAAATCATGTTCTGACTTAAAAGACTCAGTCCAAAACTAAAATAAATTTAT